CTTTTCATTTCCAAATGCAGCAGCCAGGGCTGGACTAGGTGGCAGCCAGGAGCCTGGAACCCAATCCAGGTCTCCCATGTGGCTGGCAGGGACCTGAGTCCTTGAGCTGACACTTGCTGCCTCCCAGGGTGCACCTTAGCTGGAAGCAGATGACCCTGGACTCGAACCAGACTTGAATATGGGATGCAGGTGTCCCAAGCTGCCATTTAACTGCCGCCCCAAAAAACAGTCCCCCTTAAGTCTAAGATAATACAAATTCCACCTTGTTACATAAACAGAGGAAGAGTTGGCATAGTGGAGCTGAAGATGTGCCCCCGAGACTGCCCTCCACAGAAGGGCAGGTGCTCAGCTGAGAGGAGATGGCCAGGAGGCAGCCTTCAGGTGCCACTTCCTCCAGAGGCTGCTCCAGTCGCAGAGAAGCCCCTGCTCAAGGTCAAGTCGAGTCCTCTGCCGAAGGCTACAGTAGGAGCATAAGGCCAGCCACTTGGACTTGCTGTGAGTCCACTCCAGTGGGCAGGATTTGCTCGGGTACTTCCTGCCGGCTTGACTGAGTTTTGTCAAGTTCATTGCAGTTCCACTTTCCCTCTGCTCAATTTCCTTTCTGTTACAGGTGTGGATTTCTCAATGACAATGTGCACTCCAGATTTTATCTTAGCATTTTCTTCTGGGGAATCTGTCCTGTGACAAGCAACAATGAAATTAAGCCATTCAAAGGATTTTGTGTGTGTGAGAAAAGTCGAGATGTATAACAAGAACCCAAGAAACTCAGGGTTATATTACTCAACACTCTTCATTATTAAAAAAGTCTTTTTTCTTTGTTTTGATGATTGATTTTTTATTTATTAATATACAGAGAACAGATTTCATGAACTTCATAGATCTAATTCCAAGAATACAACAATGCTTTCCTCCCTTCCTCCATTCCTTCCTTTCTTACCTTTTTCTTTCAATTTTTTGCAATAACAAACTTTTTTTAAGATTTATTTTTATTTATTTGAAAGAGTTACAGAGAGAGAGAGAGAGAGAGAGAGAGAGAGAGAGAGAGAGATCTTCCATCCACTGGTTCACTCCTGAAATGGCCACAACTGCCGGAGCTGAGCCCATCTGAAGTCAGGAGTCAGGAGCTTCTTCTGGGTCTCCCACGTGGGTGCAGGGGCCCAAGCACTTGGACCATCTTCTAGTGCTTTCCCAGGCCATAGCAGAGAGCTGGATCAGAAAAAGAGCAGCTGGGACTTGAACCGGTGCCTGTATGGGATGCTGGCACTGAAGGCAGTGGCTTTACCCTCTACCCCACAGCACCTGCCCCACAAGAACATACTTTCTTTTTTTTTTATTTATAAAGATTTTTTATTTATTTGAAAGTCAGAGCTACACAGAGAGAAAAGGAGAGGCAGAGAGAGAAAGAGGTCTTCCATCTTCTGGTTCACTCCCCAATTGGCCACACTGGCCAGAGCTGCGCCAATCTGAAACCAGGAACCAGGAGCCAGGAGCTTCATCCAGGTCTACCCACATGGGTACAGGGGCCCAAGGCCTTGAGCCATCTTCTACTGCTTTCCCAGGGCATAGGAGAGAGCTGGATTGGAAATGGAGCAGCCGGGACTTGAACCGGTGGCCATATGGGATGGCAGCACTGCAAGCGGTGGTTTTTACCACTACACTGCAGCTCTGGCCATTGCAGCCAATTGGGGAGTGAACCAGGGGAAGGAAGACCTCTTTCTTGCGCGTGCTTTCTCTCTCTCTCTGCCTCTCCTTCTCTCTCCATGTAACTCTGACTTTCAAATAAATAAATAAATCTTTAAAAGAAAATACCATATCTGATAAGGAACTCATATCTAGAATCTAAAAGAACCCTTATCACTCAACAGTGAAAAAAAAAAAAACTACAACAACAAAAAAGCACAAACTCAAATGAAAATGAGCAAAAGACTGGAATAGGTTTTCTCCAAGGAAGATATAGAAGTGACCAAGAAGCACATGAAAAGATGCTTAACATTGCTAGTCATTAGGGAAATGCAGATGAAAAAGACAAGGAGATAATCCTTCACAACTCTCAGGCTGGCTGTAATAAAAAGAAAGACATATAATTACAGGTTTTGGTGAGGATGTAATGAATGTGGACTCTGGTCCACTGGTGATGGGATTGTGAAGTAGTGCAGTCCCTTTGAAAAATAGTCTGGCAACTGTTTAAAATGCTAAGAATAAAGTTGCCATATGGCCTAGTAGTACCATTCCTAGGATACAACCAATAAAACGTTATGTCTTCATGAAAATTTGTACACAAATATTCACAGGAGCATTATCCATCATAACTATACACTGGAAAGAACTCAAATGTCCTTTATCGAGGAATGAATAAATCAATGGTGTTATATCTACAACGTGGAATATTATTTAGCCATAAAAGGAATGAATTACTGATAAATGCTCAATATGGATATACTTTAAAAACATTATCCTAAATGAAAAAGCCAGTCACAAAAGACACATATTGTATGGTGCCATTTATATGAAATACCCAGAACTGGCAAATCTATTGGAGCGACAAGTGAAGTAGTGGTTGCCCAGTGGTGAGGGGGATAGGAGATCTGGAAAGTGAGGAGTACAGTGTCAAGTTTTTTGTTTTTTGCTTTTTTTTTGTTGTTGTTAGCAGGGGACAGGGAGTGGTTGGTAAAAATATTCTGGAATTGATTGTGGTGATGGTTGTACAACTCTGTTAATACACTAAAAACCATTGCTTTAAATAGGCAAAACATAAAGAATCTGATTTATATTCCAATAAAGCTGTTATAAAAATACCATCTAAAACGCTATTATATTAGGAAAATATAAAACTATTGAAAAAGCTGTGTTTATACTAGTGAAAAATTAAAAATAACCTATATAATAAGATAATGATTAAACAAATTGGGCTAGAACTCTATGGTAGAATATTAACCAGCCATTAAAAATACTTTAAATAAAACTTAATGATGAAGAAAATGCTCATAATAACATGTTAGCTGTAAAAGCAAGATAAAAAAATAAATTCAGCATAATCCTATGTATTAAGGGAAAACAGTATACATATAGAAAAAAAGACTGAATGACAACAAAATGTCAAAGTGTTTAGGAATGATGAGTTGTGGATGATTTTAGCTTTTCTCTTTGTTCTATCTTTAAATATTTTCCAATGAAAATAGGTTTTGATTGCTTCTATATGTAGGAAACAAAATATCATAAAACTTAAGTAGCTATGGGCACTTTTTTTTTTTTAGAAAAAATATTTATTTACTTATTTTGAAAGTCACAGTTATAGAGGGAAAGAAAGAGAGAGAGAGTTCTTCCAACTGCTGGGTCCCTCCCCAGTTGGCTGTAATGGGCAGGGCTGGGCCAGGCTGAAGCTGGGAGCCAGGCACCCCATCCAAGCCTCCCACATGGGTGGCAGAGGCCCAAGTTTTTACGCCATCTTTTGCTGCCTTCCCAGGTGCAATAGCAAGAAGCTAGATCAGAAGCTTTGAATTGAACTGGCATTCGGATGTGGGATGCTTGCGTTAGAAACGTCAGCTTAATCTGCTGTGTGACAAAGCCAGCCCCTGGCAGAAATGTCAGTTTTGTTGATCTTTGTATTCCTTGTAACACAGTGTGGTGCCTGTCTATTTATCTATCATAAACACTGATAACATGTATCCCTTGCCACCTTTGTTCATTCATTCATTCAATAAATATTTATTGTGCATCTACTCTGTGCCAAGTATGTGCTGGGTGCTGCACAAACATTAAAGAGCAAAATGAGACAGCATCTCAGCCTAGTGAAGGGAAACAGATGATCACATCTCCACAGATGAACACAGTATCCCAAAGGAGGTAAGTATGAAACACAGGTCCGTGTTGCTATGAACACTGATGAAGGCAGGTCAGAGATATTTTCTGTCTGCTGCTACCTAATATAAAAACATAAATTTTAATATAAACGTTTCCCTTAAACAGCTTTGCACTATAATTCACGCAGCGTACAATCCATCCATTTAAATTGTTCTTGGTCATAGCTTTTAGTACATTCACAGGGTTATACAACCATCGCTACAAATTTTAGAAAGTTTTCATGACCCCAGAGAGAAACCTCACCCCTCTTGAGCGTCACCCCCATTCTTGCCAGGCCCGAGCAGCTTGATCATCCATTTTCTTTCTCTGCACATTTGCTGGTCCTGCACATTTCAAGTGAGTGGGAACACGCAGCCTGCTCTTGCCACTGGCTTCTTCCATTCAGCATGGTGTTTTCAGTGCCTGTCCATGTTGTAGCCTGTGTCATTACCTCGTTTCTTTTTATTGCCAAATAATATTCCATTGTAACATGTATTTTTCTTAGTGCAGCCGGAGACAGGATGTTGTTCCTCTGGATTCTCCACAGCCAAACAAATTCAGTTTGCCCTATTTCCAGAAAAGGGTGACAGTGAGTAAATGTTGGCGGAGCTTCGGAGGGCGGCGGCGGGCTCAGAAAGCCGCCTTTCATGAGTGACTGTGTTCACTGAGCGCTCTTAGGCTGTATTTCTGACTCACAGACGGAAGTGATTCTATTTTGGCATTCTTTCTCTCTTTCTCCTGCTTGGTCTCTACCGACTTGCCGTGTTAAATTATGCAAGTGACTTAAACTCTGTTTATGTAACTCCTGCATCTCTGTAAAATAAACCCCGTCCAGCTTGCTTGTTTGCCAGGGCTGTTTGGAGACAATTTTTCATATGCTATGCATCATCAGCTCCCACAGAAGGCAAAAGGAATTTGATGTGTGGGGGTAGTCTGGGATCCAGTCCAAAATTAGTGCTCATCTGGAAGAAATATGGACGCCTGATACTTACTTGCTGGTCTTTTAGTGGTATCCACAGATGGCCTTTCCTAAAAGGGGCTTTGTAAATCTTTATCTCTTGTGCTTTTTTCTATAGAAGATAAACTTAAACACACACACACATACACACACACTCCTGCAGTGAGAAAGTCTTCTGATACTCTTTATTTACTGTGAATCCAAGAAAGCAATCGGACCTAGTTCTGTGACCTGGGGAAGGAGTCCCTATGCCATCAGGATTCTCTTTCCCGTTTCAACCCAAGACTGGCCTCTCAGACCTCAGCTCGGGCTGTGAATTCCAGTCGGACTGAAACGGCTCCCCAGCTCCTCACGCAGTTGGCTCTGTGCGGGGCGCTTAGGAGGAGGCACAAAGAAAGGACGCGGATCCTTGCTCTCCCAGCGGTCCAGCAGGAGTCGGGGCCCGAGGGGAAAACGGGACCGGGTTTCTGCCGGGCAGGAGACAAGCGTCGTCACGTGCCGAAGACGACTTGGAACTCTGTCTCAGAGGACAGTGAGGGCTTTCGCAGGTGGGGCTGGGAAACAGCCGGGAGACCCCCGCAAGGCGACTTGCTCTCGGCCGGGAGCTGAACAGCTGCAGCCGCAGCGTGGGACGCGGGCGGCTGTGAGAACTGGACCTGAGACGGTGGGCTGCGGAAGGCCACCCACTGGAGGTCTTGGGCGGAGCGAACATCAAAACTTTTCTGCAGGACAGTTAGCCTGGCAGGAGGATGAAAGATGCACGGGGAATTGGCGTCCAGGCAGCGAGACACAGCAGGAGGGCGCTCCCGCACTCCGCGCCTGCACCGAGCCAGAGCAAACGCAGCCGGCGAAGGCCACGGGGGAGACCCCTTGCAGGACAGAACCCCGTCTCCGGTAGAGACTGACTGGGTAGAGCCAAAGTTATAGCCACGCCCTCCAGTGACGCCAAGTGCCCGGCCTCGACTTCCTATTGGCTACTCTGGCAGCCAGTCCTTGGAGGAGGCGGTGCCCTGCTCCCGCCGGCTCCGGGCCCCGAGTGAGCGGGCGCAGGCTGAAATCCCAGGAGCTCCACGATCCAGGACGTCGTGCGCTGCCGTCGGGGGTCCGCTGCAGAGGTAGGCAGGTGGAGAGGGCTTCGAGCCCACGGGAGAGCCCAGCGCCTCCGCCACTCCGGGGGGGGTCCCTGCCCCTTGAGGGCGCGCCGTCCCGGCGGGCTCGCTGAGCAGAGGGGGCTGCGGGCCGAGCTGGCCCGCCGGGACGAAGGGGGCGGGACGGGCTGGCGCTGGACTCGGCCCGGCTGGGCCCCCGGGCTGCTGTGACATCTGGCTTGAAACCCGGGGGCCCGGCCTGGGGGCGCGGCCGGCGCCGTTAGGGATGCTGAGGCTCGGCTTCGGCCCTGCGGGAGCCCCGCGGTACTCTCCGGGCCACCCCTCTCCGAACCTGAAGGGACCGCTTTCCACAAACCCGAGTTGCCGGGGCGTCGAAACCGCGCCGTCCCTGAAGTTGTGGACCACCTGGAAAAGACGAAGCTGTGCAGCGCGCCGCGCCGCGCCGCGCCGCGCGGAGGGAGGCAGATCCCGAGCGCGGGGCTACCTGCGTGCGGGTCTCGGCTGTGGCCGTGGAAGTGCGGGCTGCCAGCCAGCGCGGACCCCGGCTGCGTGCGGCCGGAGCGCGGCCAGGGTGCTGGCGCTGGCCAGGTGGGGCTCGGTGAGCACCGACGTCGTGGGTGCTGACCAACCCTGAGCCTCCTCAGGGCGAGCCTGAGAGGATGGATTCTTTCATTTCTTTTTCTTTCCTTTTTGGGATTCGTTCAGAGAAACAGGAAGTGAGAGATTCAGAGAGGAGAGTCTTCACTTCATTGTAAACAGTTTATTTTGTGTCAGTAAATGTTTCCAAAAGGCACGGGATTTGGAAAATCGGTGCTTTTTGCAGGGAAGACATAACACTTTCAACGTGACAATCTACCTAGATATTTATTTAGTAATTGGCTACAGCGCCTGAGGCTGTGCCGTTCTGTAACGCCAGTGGGAGCGGACGGGGTGGTGAATAGTGTTCAGAATTAGAATTCGCAACTATTCGGGATGGGAGTCTGTCACAACAGTTGTTTTATACTTGTTCACGCACTAGGATTACAGAGCGAAACGAGCACCTCAGGTGTCTGGTCCTCAGCGCAGACCGTTAGCCAAGCGATCTTCGGTCTTGGATTTTGTAAATTATGACTCAATTAGTAAGGAATGCAGATGTTAAATGCCAATTTAACAATACTCCTGAGGCATTGCTACTTCACTATAACATAAATAATTTGGGCAACTAAAGAAATGAATAGGTATGTTTAACTTTGGGTTTATTTATTGTCTTTTTTGTAACAGTACTCTAGGTAAGGTATATGTGTGATAATTCTCATATTTGAGGTTAACAGTTATCTCTCGATTGAGTTAATGATGAAATTCTTGGCAGGGATAACCACAAATAATGGATCATTAAATTGTAATTGTGGTCCTAGCATACACCCTTTTAAACTGCCACTTTTTCCTTGTTCATTGTACATATCTGCGCTTTTTACTGAGGTGTAATTCACAAGCCATAAGACGTACCCTTTTAGGGTGTAGACTTCCGTGGTTGCTATGGTTTGAACATGATTTGACTCCTGAACCAAGAGTCAAAATACATCTCTTAAGTAACTTGCCTCAGGTGTTTCCTTGTAGTCACAAAGTGCTGGCTAGTGCAGTGGTGTATAGTATATTTACAGGGTTGTGTAATTCTAATTCTAGAGCATGTTCACACCCAGAAAAGAAACCCCCTACCTATCTACGGCCAGTCCCCATCGCTGTTTCCTCGCAGACCTTGGCTGCCACTGACCCACTTTCTGTCTCTTTGGATTTCCCTATTCTGGATATATCGTGTAAATAGAATCATATAATATGTGGCCTCTTGTGTGGTTGCTTTCACTTAACATGTTTTCAAAGTTTGTGCATTGTTATAGTATGTTAGAACTGCATTCCTTTTATTATGGCTCGATATTATTCCATTGTATAGATACATTGCATTTTATTTACCTAGCTGATGGTTGATATTTGCACTGTTTCCACTTTTTTGGCTACTATGGGTAATGATAACTGTGAACATTTGGGTACAAGTTTTGTTGTGGACATATGTATTCAGTTCCCTTGGGTATATACTGAGCATTGGTATTGCTGGGTCATGTGGTAACTTTATGTTTGCACTTTTAAGGAACTGGTAAATTATTTACAAAGCAGCTCTACCATTTTTACATTCCCACCAGCAATGCTAAGAATCCCGACTTTCCCACAGCATCACCAACACTTGTTCTTATATTGCATATTGTTTTCATTTCACTATAGCCATCCTTTCCAGTGTGAAATGGAATGTCATGACTTTGATTTGTATTTTTCCTTATGACTAATGACGCAAGCATCTTTTCATGTGCTTATTGGATATTTGTGTCTTCTTTGGAGAACTGTCTATTTGGATACTTTGTCCACTTTTCAGTTGGGTGATCTTTTTATTGTCGACTTATAAGAGACCCTTTAGTATTCTGGACACATTCCTTATCAGACATCTGATTTGCCATTTTTTCCCCCATGCTGTGGGTTTTTTTTTCCACTTTCTTGATAATGTTCTTTAAAGTTCTTTGTGCTTTAGCAAAGAAACTATTGCCCCATGCAAAATCAAAGAATTTTAGAGCATTGGTTCTTATTAATCCATTGTGTATTAATGTTATGAAATATGAGTCTAAATTCATTTTTCTGCATGTGAATGTCCTAGTGCCCCAGAAGCATTTGTTGAATACTATTCTTTCCTCATTGAAAGGTCTCGGTACCTTTGCCAAAAATCAGTTGACTCTATGACATAATTGTTTATCTCTGGACTCAACTTTATTCCGTTGATCTATACTTGAATGTCTGTCTTTTTCCAAGTACCACACAGCCTTGATTCCTATGGCTTTGTAATAAGTTTTAAATTGGAACATTTGAATTTGCCTTCTTTTCAAGATTATTTTGGCTACTCTGGGTCCTTCGATTTCCAGGTGTATTTTAGGATCAACTTGTCAATTTCTGCAAAAAATGCTGTGGAATTTTGATAAGGATTGTATTGAATGTGCATATCCATTTGCAAATATTGTCTTCTTCACAATACTAAGTCTTTCAGTTCGTGAGCTTGCAATTTCTCTCATTTATTTAAGTCTTCTTTAAAGTGTTTCAATGATGCTTCATAGTTGTCAGAGTACAGATTTTCTGATTCTTTTGTTAAAGTCTTGTTCATTTCAATGCTATTGTAAATGGACTATTAATTTCATTTTTGAATTGTTCGTTGCTGGTGTATAGAAAGACATATTTTTTTGGAATATTTATCTAATTTCCTGAGACATTGCCAAATCCAATAGTTATAATAGTTTTTATGTGGATTCCTTAGAATTTTCTGTATACATGATGTGTATCATCTGCAAATAAATATGGTTTTATTTCTAACTTATTTTATTTTCGTATGCTAGAATCTCTAGTAATGTTGGATATACGTGGTGAGAGCAGACATCCTTGTCTTGTTCTTGATTTTTTAAAAAATATTTACTTATCTATTTTTTGAGAGGCCCAGTGTGTGTGTGTGTCTGTGTGTGTGTGGGTGGGAAGACTTGGGGGAAGAGAGAAATTGCTTCTATTGGCTGGTTCACTCTTCAATAGCCGGGGCTGGTCCTGGCCAAAACCAGGAGCCAAGAACTTCATTTGAGTCTCCCACTTGGATAGCAGGATCTCAAGTACTTGGACCATCATCCGCTGCCTCCCAGGCACATAAGCGGGAAACTAGATTGGAATTGAAGTAGCCTGGATTCAAACCAGGCACTCCAGTATGAGATGTGATGTCCCAAGTGTTAGCTTAACCTGCTGTGCCACAGTGCTCACGACATTGTTCTTGACTTTAAGGGGAAAAGTTTCAGTTACTTATCAATAAATATGATGCTAGTTGTTAGCTTTTTGTAAATATCCTTTATTAGGTTGAGGAAGTTCCCTTCTGTTGCTAATTTGTTGAATGATTTTATCATGAAGGGGTGTTGGATTTTGTTGAAGGGTTTTTGTGTCTTTTGAAATCATCATGTGGATTTTGCCCTTTATTTTACTCATTCATTTCACTACATTGATTGATTTTCATTTGTTTAAAAATATGTACTCTTATTTTTAACACTGTAGACATTTTATAGAATATAAGCAAGTTTTCTTGTTTACTTTTGTTTACTTAAAAGACAGAGAAACATACATACACACACTCACACTATATATATATATATATAGAGAGAGAGAGAGAGAGAGAGAGAGAGAGAGAGAGCGCTAAATCCTCTACCTACTGGTTCACACCAAAAATGCCTACAACAGTTGGGGCTAGGCCAGGCTGAAGCCAGGAACCTGGAACTTCATCCAGGTTTCCCATATTGAGTTTCCCACATCAGCCCAAGCACTTGGGCCATCATCTGCTGCCTCCCCAGGTGTGCGTTAACAGGAAACTGGGTGGGAAACTTAATAGCCAGGAACCAGTTTCTCTAGTATGGGATGCAGACATCCCAAGCAGCAACCTAACCTGCTGTGTCACAATGCTTGCCCTTTAAGTTATTTTAAATGTAAACCAAAAATTAACCAACAAGAAATAGATTCCTTTTGTTCCTTACAGTAGAATAGTGTCCCTACATTTCTATGCAAGGATATGAACAGTTCAAGACTTAAGGATGTCCATTTAGTCCTTTTCATTTTTATTCTTTCATTCATATATTATTTCCCTGTCCACTCTAAAGCTAGTAAGGTGAGAAATGAAGTGGCAGTAGAATTGAGAAAAAGTTAGTGATTGACAGACTGTGTTATCTACTCCTGAATCACGGATGGTAAAGGCTAACATGGTTAAAGAAAACAAAGATAGTACCAACAAGGCTAACAGACTTGGAGAAAGACTCAGAAACAATGAGCTGAGGATTCATAAAACAAGGAAAGGAGAAGAGAATGATTTCCAGTTCTACAGTGATCAATTTCTCTTAAGTAACGGCTAGAATTTGAGGTCTCTGGAGCTGGAGACAGTTGGGGTACTTTTAATACAAGTTGTAGATTTCGCTTAAATTCTGGTTATAATTCTTATTAAATTATTGAGTGATAATATCATTGTTAATGTGAAACTAGCATAAACACAAAACAGTAATTATGCTAGGAAAATAACATTTTAATGGGTTTTTAACAGTGCGAAGTTTTGAAATATTGGTGTAAACTTAGGGATGGGGTTATATGACACCAAACACTGGGAAAATAAATGTGCTTATATTTTTATAAAACGAAAGAATAATACACTTAAACTGAAGCACCGTCCTGGGGCTCTCAGAGTTTTGCTGTCACATGTTCTCCATAACTGAGGCATGGCTCTTACAGGAGTTTAACTCCGTGTGCAGATTTGATCAGTTCTTAGTGAGGGCAATTCAGACACACATATTAGACCATTGGTTACAATAGCCTGATGAGGGGCCAGTGCTGTGGCGCAGCAAGTTAAAGCCCCGCCTGCAGTGCCAGCATCCCATATGGGCTCTGGTTTGGTACCGGCTGCTCCGCTTCCAATCCAGTTGCCGGCTAATGTGCCTGGGAAAGCAACAGAGAATGGCCCAACTCCCTGGGCCCCTGCATCCACATGAGAGATCTGGAAGAAGCGCCTAGCTTCTGGCTTCGGAACAGCTCAGCTCTGGCCATTTCGGCCATTTAGGGAGTGAACCAGTGGATGGAAGATTTCTCTCTCTCTGTCTCTACCTCTCTCTGTAACTCTTTCAAATAAATAAATCTTTTTAAAAAATGTCCTGATGAAACATTAACAGTCACTAAAACCACTTGTATGAATCCCAGAGCCAGAATTAATTATGCTCCCCACGTAGAGTAACCCTTGAGAATTTCAAAGCCAGTTTTCTTGCCTCTTCTTCCTTACAGTGTTTCTCTCTAGAATTAGTTTCTTCTAAAAGGAAAGTAAATACTACAGAAATCACTGATTCCAGAATTACTTAATGGTGGTGATCTCAAATTTCATATTTATGTTTTTTCTCTTCTGACACCAAATAAAAATTATAGAAACTTGTCAGATCATAATAACTCACCAGTTATAAATGCCAGAGGACTTGAGGGACTTAGCCTGCACCTGGACCAATGTAGATTGGCAGTGATACTTACACAAATCTAAACCATAGTTGCAGTACTGCTAATGTAGTTTCTTTAGGTTATTTTGTCATGCTACCAACTGAATCAAACTGTGATATTTCTGTAAATTTAAGAGTATGATAAAATTGTGAGTGAGTAGGTTTTCAAACTTTTCTGTTGGGAGAGCTAAAATAATAAGAGTACTGTGTGTGCTATTGTCTGAAATTCTGTTGAAGATGGCAATGTTTCATCTGATCCTCACCACATACCCATGTGGAAGAATGATCACCATGCAGAATTTTTCTAGACCGAGTAAACTGAGGCATGAGCAGGTTAAGTGGCAGTTGGGCCTCCAAACCTGCCCTTCTGTCTGTCACCAAATTTGTCCCATTAACTCTAACCAGTTCTAGAACTTACCTTAGAATTAGCACTTGTATCTGGATACCAGTAGATGCTGACTAGAATGCGTTCATTGGGTGATTTAATGAGTTATCTTCATGCTAATTCTGTTGTCCTGTTTGAATGCTTCCTTTTTTTCTTTCTTTCTTTCTTTTTTTTTTTTTTTTAGGACAAATATGGCCGAGCTTTCTGAACCAGAAGCACCAGTAGATTGGAAAGAGCGATGCGTGGCTCTGGAGTCCCAGCTCATGAAATTTAGAGTTCAAGCAAGCAAGATCCGAGAGCTCCTAGCAGAGAAGGTCAGCTGTTTTCCTAAACCTTTGTTATTCAGTGTCAGCTGCTTGGGGCCTCTTTCATTTATATTAGATAATCTCAGTACTATTGGGGTTAAGCATTTTTATAATAATGAATGTGATTTAACCTTTACCAAATGTTTGGAGCTATATTTGGCATATTCTTTTGCTAGTATTAGGAAGGGTTAGACATGAAGACAAAACACATTTATTTGTAAATGCTAGTAGAATATGTGGGAATTGTATATGTTTGATGAATGTGGAGTTTATTCATTCCAAAGAGAAAAGCTATAATTTATTTGATTTACTAGAGAAATGTGACAACATTTTGATCTACTAAATGTTTATGAAAACCGTGTTAAAATGACTAAAGAAGAAAATGTCCTGTTGACAGTAAAATGTGTTTATATTGTACTTGAACATATGCACCTGCTAAAGAATTTGTATTGACTATTTATTATTAAACTATCATTTGGCTAGCGTTAAGCTTAATATAATTATATGCTTCTTTCAATAGTGCTAATCATGTAATTAGAATTTCATTTATGTCTTAAGAATTCTGTTTTGGCAAATACGTGTAAAAAATGAGTAGATCCATTCATTCATTCATTCACTCAACAAATATCCATTGAGGAATAATTACCTGCCAGACAGGGTTACCACAGCTACATACATGAGCAAGACAACCCATGTTCCTGTTTCCAGAAACCTGGATTTTAGATCTGTGTTGTTCAGTATGATAGCTACTAGCCACATGGGCTATTGAACATACCAAATGATGCTAGTTCAAAACCAGATGTAATGCAAATGTAAAACACACCAAATCTGAAAAATTTAGTATGAAAGAAAAAAGTATGTTAGAAAAAGTGTTTACATTAATTATATGTGAAATATTTTGGGTATTGGATTAAGTAAACAATATTAAATTAATTTTACCTGTTTTATTTTAGTTTTAATATGCATTTTAGAAGATTTAAAATTATACATGTGGCACCTAGTGTATTTCTGTTGAACAGCACTAGATGGATGAATGATTGGTATTAATAGTCATTCAGAACTGACTGGAAGAATTTATGGGTGGTTTTTAAAACCCTAGTCTGCATAATTCTTTTGGAATAGAAACTGGTTTAGGTATCACATTCCCAAAGAAAGTCTCAAATCTTCCTTTTATTGCTAGCCAAGAATCTGTTTAGCACTGAAGTATTCTAATAAGATCCAATGAAATAGCTCAGTTTAAATCATCATGTAGATCATCTTAAATTTTTGTGGCCTCACATCTTTTAAGAGGAAAGACTAAAGTTATCCCACTCACTCTGGGTCAAGGATGACCTAGTAATTGGTTTGCAGAATAAATTCCCAACATCAGTGTGCTTTATTTGTTGATATTACAATGAAATTATAACTTTAAAAAATCCCAGTTTAAATATTTTCACATTGGGGAAGCTAATTCTAGCTCAAAATGAATGATTCAACATTTGTCTTTTGCTCTTCTGTCTATAAAAATAATTTCCTATATTTAACTGTGATTTATCTAATGTCTTCCACAACCCTGACCATGCCATACATTGACCTTATTTTCTGGTGGTTGTATCTGTGGACACTTCCCAGCTCTGAAGCAGCATCTCAGCAGCTGACACTGCTAACCACAATCTCTTCACAGATTTCTTGACTTCCACACTCTGTTTTCATAATTATGGACAAGATCAACGTTAGCGTATTTGGGTTCCAATTAGATGATCTTTAAATTCTCAATTTTATGGCAACATTGGTTCTGTTGTTCAGAAAGCATGTTGCAGCATGGTTTTATTATTTGCATGCCTGTTTATAAATCTTACAGAGCTTTCTCTGTAAGTAAAATTGTAAATAACCTTTTGATCATTAATCTGTATGCTGTTAGATTTCATGTTTTCTATGTCAGCAATGAGTATTGAGAGGCATATTATTTCAAAATTGCTGTTTTGGTTGTGGTCCTTCCTCTTTCCTTCTTTGCTTCTTTCCTTCCTCCCCTCCCCTCCCCTCCCCTCCCCTTCCCTCTCCTCCCCTCCCCTCCCCTCCTGTCATCTCCTCTCCTCTCCTCTCCTCTCCTCTCCTCTCCTCTTCCTTTCTTTGGCCTGTATTTTATATCTGTAACTTAAATCTTTGGACAGATCTAAAAGATAGAATGACTCAGATGTGTTTTGTGCATTGGAAAATGGATAAGCATGCCAAGTCACTCATGGTTGCCCAGTAAATGTATTCAACACCAAAATGGGAATAAGGATTTTCACATTTTCTGTTATGGTCTATTATGAAATATTTTTTCAGGTTTGAAAGTTCTTTTTGTGGCCGGCACCACGGCTCACTAGGCTAATCCTCCACCTGCGGCACTGGCACCCAGGGTTCTAGTCCTGGTTGGGCGCCGGATTCTGTCCCGGTTGCTCTTCTTCCAGTCCAGCTCTCTGCTGTGGCCCGGGAAGGCAGTGGAGGATGGCCCAAATGCTTGGGCCCTGCACCTGCATGGGAGACCAGGAAGAAGCACCTGGCTCCTGGCTTCAGATCGGCACAGCACACGGGCCGTAGCAGCCATTTGGGGGGTGAACCAATGGAAGGAAGACTTTTCTCTCTGTCTCGCTCTCTCACTGTCTAACTCTGCCTGTCAAAAAAAAAAAAAAAAAAAAGAACTTTTTGTTACTAACCCATGTTTTCATGAACATATCTAATATTTATTGATTTATAATCTGTTAAACACTTTTTAGGTATACTTTATTTAATCTTGTAATGACCTGTGAAACAACAAATTTTATTGTTTTCACTTTATATATTAGGAAACTGATGTTTACTCTGCACCAGAAGCTCTTCTAAGTGCTTTACAAATATATATGTATATATATATTATATGTATATACATATATAGTATATATATAAACTTCATAACCCTTACAATAATCTTGTAAGGTAGGAGCTAATATTATCCATATTTACACAAGAGGAAATTTAAGCACAGAGAAGTTATTCAACTTGTCTGAGTTTGCACCAGAAACTAAGTGATGGAGTCAAGATTGGAACTCAGACATTCTGTCTTTCAAGCCTCGGTGCTTAGCTGTCACCCTAAATGGCCTTGCTGATCGAGTTTTATTACCACCTCCTTGCTTTCTCTGACTTACCACCCACTCATCTGTTCTGTCTTCTCTTCACCAGTGAAACATGTAAATCCATCTCTGCTTGGGCTCAGTTCCCTGTATAACTCTGTGTATGTGTGTAGTAATAATAATTTACATAACATTACATATTTTTGAAAGCAAACCCTATGGCATTGCTTCTGAGTGCCAATTCAAGTCAAATGTTGCATTCCAGAAGCTAGTCTGGTCTCATCTACAATCTTTGATTTTGTGTTAGGACCAGTCTTCCCCAGGGCTTCTCCCTAATAATCCTTCATACCTTCCCCCAGATGGAAGCAGGCCCAAGGTTGAAGATTCTTGAGAGAATACGAACTTGGTTCCTCAGCTCTTTGCCAGGAATTTTGGCCAGCTTCTCTTTCCTTGTTCCTAGTTCCGTTTTATTGGATCTGGTTATCGGCAGCTAATGCTGGGTGCCAGCTATGGTTGAATGCCTTTACAATCATTAGCTAGCTTAAATTCCATAATAACCCTAATATGTAATCATTATCTCCAATCTAAAGATATTAATATTAAGGCTGAGAGTAATAGAGTAGTATGCTCAATATCACACAGCTAACAAGTAGCAGAGCTGTCAACATACCTTACATCATTCAGATTTGTTGTGATATAGACACTAGAGTTCCCAGTGCATACAAGTAACTCATCATCATTTTTCCTGTATCTTTCTTTTTTTTTAAGATTTATTTTATTTACTTGAAAGTCAGAGTTACACAGAGAGAGGAGGAAAGGCAGAGAGAGAGAGAGAGAGGTCTTCCATCCTCTAGTTCACTCCCCAACTGGCTGCAATGGCTGGAGCTGTGCCAATCTGAAGCCAGAAGCCAGGAACTTATTCCTGGTCTCCCACGAGGGTGCAAGGGGCCCAAGGACTTGGGCCATCATCTACTGCTTTCCCAGGCCATAGCTGAGGGCTGGATCGGAAGTGGAGCAGCCAGGTCCCGAACCGGTGCCCATATGGGATGCTGGCACAGCAGGCAGCAGCCCTACCTGCTATACCACAGTGCCAGCCCCTCCTGTATCTTTCTGATACGGGACACATTGTGTATGCCCACAAGGAGATGAGTTAAATCTAATTACACATAGATAGAAGGTATATTTTTAAATATTTTAGGAAAAATGTGTGAGATGATTGTGGAATGTTTTCATAAATAAAAATGGATTTCAGTTACTTATACCTTATGTTTTCTGGATATAGAGTCAGAGAATACACAAATGTTTTTAAAAAACTGTTTTTGCACTTTTTTTTTTTTTTGCCATCTACTTTCCAAGCAACTTAGAGTACTGAAGCTTGTGAAGAAAAGGGCCTTATTGAAGTCCTGGGCAAGTGCTGCTGCAAGTGGGAGAGGTCTTTAGAGGAATTTAAGGAATGGTGTTGGAAATATCCTTAGCATGCCAAATATAAACTCTTCAGGGAAGCCGAGATTTAAGTAGTTTTTCTGCTTTACAGTATTGCTAGGCTAGTTTCTGAGTCAGGAAGGAAGAAGGGAAAGTTTCTTTTTAAGTTTAACTGAAATGTTATTTCCTATGGGTTAGATTTTTCAGTGAGGAGGAAAATATGAAAACTTTTCCCTTTGGGCAGCAGCATGTCCCCCATCACCTAATGCTGCCTTTACCTGGTGCAGCGTTGCTGTCTGGGGTTTCCTGCTACTTGGCCTTTCTTTCATGCATATGATTCTCTTGAGGCAGTGCAGGATTGACTTACAGGACTCAGGAGTCCCTGGACAGCATAGCCTGAGCTGCTCTCACACATTAGGCCAGTATTAGCCTCATTAAATTTTACATCCACTCCCCAAGTTACTCTGTTGGTAATAGGTATTTCACAGTGCTTAATGGGAATGCTACATATACTAA